GGGAAAATCGTATTTAATAAGATCATGCATCAAATGACAGCCCATAATGGTCATGCCAGAGAATCACTTCAGTAATCGTTACCAAATTATGCACTGCTCATACTAAATCCACCCAGGTCACTCCCTGAGGAGCCCTTCTGGACAGGCCCAGCGAGCTTCCCAAGTGGAACATGCGGCAGCAGCTTTGCCAGACGCAGACCCGGCAGCAGCACAACGGGCTGTTATATACAGGTCAATGCCAAATGCTAGTTAATGAAAATTAAATTAATCATCTTTCATCCTGGCTTCTTGGGGATTTGTTCTCCAGCCAGTCCTGACACCAACAGAGATGGGCTCAGCATCCTTCAGGGCAGAGCCCAGCTCTCCCAGGCCCCAGAATTCCAGCTTCCCTATTTGTTTTCAGCCAATTCATGTCTTAAAGGAAAATTAATTTGCCAGAATAGCCTGAATTCTATTTTTGTTGCCTTCCTCCTTCCCTGCAGCTGAGCTGTGACTTATTGACTGTGAAGTAACTGCAGGGTCTTTAAAAGTTCAAGGCACAGGGTGTTTTTCTGCCTGTTTTTGCCTAGCTGACTCCCTGTCATCATCTTCCCTAGCATCATTTCACGGGCAAGAGGCATGTGACATCCAACTAAGCTGTGAACCATAATCATCCTGGGGATGATGTTTACATTTGATTTTTCCTCAAGCTGATAAACTCTCTCCAATTTCCTTCTCCATCTCTTTGGTATGGATTGAATTGCTTATGCCCCACGGAGTGGAATTCTTCTCTTATCTCTCATCTGCTCGCTATAAAAAAAATGCTCCCAGCCACCCTTCAAAAGTCACTTCAAAGTTACCACTGCAAAGAGGAAAGAGCTACAATACTGCTCCTCATCTGTTGCAATCAGCTCTCTCCTAGGGCTTCTTGCAGGTGCCACCAGCATCCAGCACACTCAGCACCACTGGCTGGGGCCAGGATCTCCCCTTTGCTATCTCCAGCTCTGGGTACAGTGAGACAGCTGTTGAACAAGAGCATAAATCCTTGTTAAATCTTTTCAGCTCCCTAAAGCAGAAATTGTCAACCCTAAAGAACATGTTGGAGGCTTCTGCTCAGCCTCTAAGCCATAAATGATGGGCAGACTGCAACCATATAACAGGACACACGAGAAATGGCAGTAAGTCAGACATTAACTCTACTTCCCTGTTGGGCTGAGAACTTCTACCTCTGCAAGATGGTGGAGGCCAGCTTTGCTGTCAGTTCTGTACCAGCAGCTCTCCAATAACTTGAGCTCCCTTGGATAAAAGGGGATTTCCGGACCCTCTGTCTCCAGGCTGCACCCAGGCAGAGGGATGGCAATGTGTCCTCTCCTCACCCAACCATTTCTGGGGTTGGGGCACCCCAGCCTGAATGATTCCAGTGCTCACCTGTCACACAGAACCTCAGCTCCTGCTGACAGCTCTGCTCTCCCCTCCAAAGCTGGCAACCAGTCCCTTGTACTCCCTGCAGCCCTTTTACTGGGGCAAGAGGGGACAGATTTGGGGAAAGACACGGCAGCCAATTAGACCCATTAGATTTCTAAACTCCCTATTCAAGCACAGTGGTTACAAAACTTTTACAAAGCTCAAAGCTGGGTTCTCACAAAATTTGACCCAGGTGTTCACGCACAAGCTCAGCTGCTGGCACCAAGTAAGGTTGTCTCTCTTAAAGCTCCCTTCAGAACTCTCCATGCCTCCAGTAAACCTACTGTCAAGGCTTCCCTGATGTTCAGCCCCTCTCCTCCATCCAGTTTTACTCCTGTAACCAGCTCACCTCTGGGGAAGGTCCCTGCCAACCCCCACCATGCTCTGCACTAACCCCACCATGTTCATTCAGCAGCAGTGCAGCACTCAGCCACCCTCACTCCACATCAAAGAGCCAGGGAGCAGATTTTGGCTGTGCTGGGAACTCCTCATCAACAGCACAGGTATTAAGGTGAGCAGCACAAAGCCCCCGTGCAGGTGGGTCATGAGCACTTCCCCATCTCCAGCACTGCTCCCAACAGCAGTGAAGGCAACAGGGCTGTGCGTGCTCCATTGGATTTGACACCATCAGCTTTGAAACAGTCAACAAAACAGGAATGTGTCCAGCACAAGCCCCCTCTGCTCCAGAGCATTCCCATCTGCTGCACCCAGGACCACGCAGCACAGCCAGCAGTGCTGACCCGAGCTCTGCAGCACAGCCCATCCAGTGCCCCCAGGTTTGTTCTCTTCCAGAAAATACTCGTTACCCACTGTGCACATTGTCCCCAGCCCTCCTGGGAGCTCCAGTTGCTAGTGTGGCTGAGGCCAAGTGACACAACTTGGATGCTACCCAAGTGAGGAGTAAGCAACTTGACTTGAAAAAATCAAAGCACCGGTGAGATTCCTGGCTCTGATTCATCTTCTTTTTACTATCAGTGTAAGGTAAGACAGCCTACAGGTTCACAAATTGCTTGGAAAGGGAAGAAAAACACACAGTCCCTGCTTAAACCCCTCCTAAGCAGGAGTTTCAGAGAGACCTTGTCTTGACCTGAGCAACAAGCCTCAACCCTCCCATAAACCAGAAAGGTGGCAGAGAAGTAAGTAGGATAAACAACAGTTTAATGATTCATGGGCAAGAGAGACTCTCTTTTGCTCCCTCAGCATCACCAGCTGGAAGTCCACCAGCCACACCACCCTGTGCTGGGAGCGTGGTCCCCAAAAAAGAGGTGTGAGGGGTGGGTGGGAAGCACAGGAGCAGCCTCAGGAAAGGCTGCACAGCCCCTGCCCCTCCATTCTCCCTGCAGCACCGAGGAACCAAAGCAGGAGGGCTGGGGACAACTCACCCCTTGTTCAATCTCAGCACCTTAGCAAAACTCACACGTTAATCCAGCCCCCTCAATGCAGCAGATGACAACTCTGAAATAATCATGGCTTCTGCTGCCATGTGTTGGGTTTCAGGTCTAATGATCCTCATCTAAAGCCCGAGGACACGGAGGCTGCTGTCAGGGCACAGCCAGAGCCCGTGGGCCTCACAGCAGGCTCTGAATCAGCTCCAGGCTCAGGCAGGTGCTCAGGGGCTCCGTGTGGGCCCAAAGGATCACGCAGCCCAGGAGCAGAGGGGCTGTTCAATCACCTGTGAAACTACAAGAGCCGAGGCAGCACAGGCAGGTGCCTCGCACAGCCCCCCC